AATTTTGCTAAATAAAAAAAAGTGAATATTATCTAAGGTATTTTGTGTTTAGGAATCTAAAAGGCATTTTTTGTGAATTTATTACCTTCAAACTTCATGATAACAATTTAAAAAATTTAATAACAACAAAGAAGTTATTCATTTGCTTCAAAAAATCTAGTGAAAATCAGTTCCAGTATTATTAACAGAAGAAATTGAAACCAAGAATAACCAATTAATTTCTGTGAATGGCTTACTATCAGCAGAGATTAGTTACTGCTAACATTCAATTTGAAAACAACAAGGAACAGGAATCAGTATGTATTTAATGAACAGAGGTGGACAAAATATTGCACAGAATTATAACTGAGGGAATCTGTCGGTCTATCTGTGAGGAAAGTATTACTATAGTTCAATGAAAATCTGGTAATAAAACATCTAAATCAGCACTGTATTCATTGGGGGTTTCAGATTGTTTGGCCCTAGGAAGTGATAACAGTAAATGTTAAATCTGCACTGTAAACACTGGGGTTTTTCTGTCCATAGTGCATATTGTTTTGTTAAAATAGCTTGGTCCCCCAAGAGTTACAATACAATAAATATCAATGTAAAAAATATGCCATATTTGGGTAACCAGGCGACTAGGACTGTAACTGTAGGGCCAACTTCGATGACTACAGATGTACTGGTTGGTCAAAATAGCAGAGAAAAAGAGTTCAATTTTAAAGGTGCTTGGATAAGCCAGATGTATTTAAGATAAGTGAGCTAAGCTCTGCCAAAAAACAAGAAATAAAGCAGACATAAATCATGACATTTCAAATTTTTACACTAACATTTCTAACTTTTCCCAAAGGGGTAGTAACTTAAATCACTTATAAAAGATATGTAGATCATAAAGATCTGCTACAACACAAAAACTTGTATTTCTATGAAGATTATGTATAAAAATTTTAGGCATACGATGGCCATGTTGCAAAGCCAACAAAGGCTATTCTGGCATTTTGATAATAAAGTGGAGTAACATTTTAACTTTGCAATAAATTTATCTCTGAAATTATCCTATATCCTTTAAACAGTTGGAATGTAATTTGTTAAAAAATTGACACACAATTTGTACTTAAAACATCAACTTGTAAAATAACTTTTAATTCATTTAATACAAGTAAATACGTTTTAAAACACAAAAGTCTTTGTGTAAAAAGATTACTTAACAAAGCTAAAAATATTCTTTAAAAACTTTCGGGAAGTACTAAGTTTCAAACATTTAACGTAGTGAAGTCAAAATCATTCGTTTTACGGTATAAGTAAATTATGCAAATTAAAATGTCAAAAATTACTTTTTACCAGAATCTTATAAAACTTGCATAAAATTATTAATATGAACATCATACGATGTGAATAAATTGTAAAATTCCAGCATAGATACATCAATACAAATATAAAGCAGAAATAAATAAGTCAATGTATTGTGAAAAATATTTCCAGTCTGTGTGTGTTACACATTAAAATGACCAGTCTAATTATTTATTAGGTTAATATTCACATCTCGAATGCAAAAATTGTGAGATATATCTTGGCTAACAAAACTTACGTTCCACTTGACTTTCTCAGCTTGAGCTAATCTTTTATTTTTTTTTAATTTTTAAAACCTATTTATAAGGCCTCATACTCATACCAATAATAAGCTGCCTTTAATAAAATTACATTTCGATATTTATTAACTCAAATTTAAATATAATAATTACAACAAAAAAAACATTTTATTTGGCATTTCAAATTGTCAAACCGAGGCAATGAAGATTTAGTAGAAATTAAAGGCATGTGCTACAAATATTCTTAGGAATAACATATGAACAGTTTAAGACTTTAAAAGCCTCAGGAGTTTTTTGGTTTAAAAAATTGTTGAACTGTAAAACGAATTTGGTTTGCAGAAACTCCTCGTTTAATAAGGTCTTTAAAAAAGGGCCAATTTTGGCTTATTTTCTCTGAAACCTGTTGAAAAAAAAATGTTAACAAAATCATTTAATAAATTTATTAGTGAGTTCAAAAGTAAAATTTGCACATTAATGTAGATTTACAATCCTTTAACTCCTCTTTCCTTTCCCAATTTTATAAGTAACATTAATAGTAATTTATTTCATATATCCCCTTAAATATATGTTATCTACCCATTTACAAATATTGTTTTATCATAATTGGTATAAATATTCTTGAGCCAAAAGCAAGTAAGTAACACCTATTTAAGAATAAATGGTAATAATTTTACAATCGGTGCATTTCAGAGGTCAAAACCTTTAAGTATATGTTTTGTTGTTTCCCACATCAAGTGATAAAGTTAATATTTTACATTTAAAACATTGCAACTGTTAAGCATTGAAATTACAGAACAACTATATCTGCTATTAATAATATGTGCCAATTTTTGTACCAAGCCGTAAAAACTATGAAAAAATCGCATATAATATTTTGTTTACATTTACAGATGATGATTGATACTCACATCTAAAGTAGTAAGGTTATTGGAGTTAACATAGCAATAAAACATCGCTTTAAGTTGTTTCAGCTCATCATCAGTGAGTTTGGGATCCTAATAGAAAACATGCAAGGATACTTATTGAGTAAGTTGCAAATCAGTATTAAGTAAAGTGATAAGGAAAGTTTCAAGTGCAATTTGATTTAAATATGGTGTTCCTCAAAGCCAGCAGAATGAAAAACAGTTTGGTAGCATTTTTCTTGGTAGCTATTTTTCTTATTGAAGAATGCAACTGAGCCAAAAATCTCATATTTTATTCATTCTAGAAGATAACCTGAGAATGGAAAGACAATAAAAGCTTAAGCAGTGCAAATAAACCCCTCAATTATCAACAGCTTATCCTTAATTCTTATTACCTGCATTAAGAATGAGATTTAAGGGTTATGAATATGGCCTGCGGATATTTTATTATTAGTAACCTTCTGAATGCATTGAATATGTTCGAAAATGTGTCGATGATGGTCTTTAAGGGTTGCACAAATAGGCAATGGTGTCAATTTCAGCTTTATTAACCTTACTACATGGGCCTCTTGATTAATCGGCAGCTGATTACTTTGTTAATTTATTTTAGGATTCTGCTTTGAAAGTGCAATTAGTAATTATTTGTAGAAAATTTATTGTACTATTTCATAATTAGTTATGATCATACAGCTACATTTTGGGGGTAGTGAATAATTATTATTCAAAATAATTTGGGTAAACAAACAGTAGTTTGCTCAACTCTGATTCACAAAATTGTGACCTTATATCAGAGGTCTCAAACTCAAATCATCCGTGGGCCGCAGGAAGTAGAGTCTGAGTGAAACTGGGCTGCATCAAGTATTCCAGGGGTCTCAAACTCAAATCATCCGGGGGCCGCAGGAAGTAGAGTCTGAGTGAGAATGAGCCGCATCAAGTATTCCAAACAAAAAAAAAGATTACAAATTCAATACAGCACAACTGTTACAATCTGCTCAACCTTTATTAATATCAAATAAAAACATTAAGGGTTCTCAATAACTAGGCTTTACTTTCTTCCTTCTACTCCTTATTGCCAGAAACCTGGAAGCTCTTCTTCTTACACAGCTGAGCAATATTTGGCTTGTAATCTTCCACATTAAAGGGTCAGCAAAAAGTGGAAAAAAGGCTCTGTGTATTTTAAAGTCTGCAAACATGTGACAAATTCGTCCTGTAGCTTTGCAGTGGCATCAATATTCTTACTACTGACTGGTGTGCCCAATTCCATGAGTACTTTGCATGTCGGGAAATGGCAGAGGTTTCCCTAAGAACCATAACACAAGTTGTGTACAGAATGCCCTGACATTGTCATAGGCAACACTGACAAGCTACCCCTGGTCTTGTAACTTATTGTTGAGTACATTCAGCTCATGTAGTGTATTGTCAACAAGAAAAGCCAAGTTCATGAGCCATTTAGGAGCACTTAACTTAGTACAGGAACAACCACCCCATCCTTCTCCATAAACGCTTTAAATGCTAAAACGTGTTCAAAAATCGACAGGAGCAGGCAATAATAATGAATTATTGATGCGAAGGAAGATGATTTTGTAGGGAGAATGAATTTTGATTTTTTTTATCATAGAAAAATTCAATTTTAACTACCGGGTAACCCTATTTTGAAAGTGACCAAGATTACAGGCTTGTAAATTCCCTCACTCGTAAACACCAGGGGCAATTTTAATAGGAATTCTTTGATACTATGTCAGATTGCTACGATTTACACAATTAAGGTTGCGCATTACCCACTGACTTTTTAAACTTTTCCCAAACCCGCACTTTGGCCATGTTTGTCTCATAAAATACTAAAAAATAAAAACTATTCGATTTTAAAACGGTTTTACCATTATAATCAATGTCCAAATCTATACAACATAATTTAAAAAATCAGATTTAGACTAGTCGGTGAGATTTGACTAAAACCGTTGTGGAGGGTCTCATTAAAGATATGGGAAAGGGCGAAACGCCAGGGCCGCATGACACTAAACTTTGCTTGTCATGTAGCGGGCTGCAAAATATTGTCTTGCGGGCCGGAAATGGCCAGCGGGCCACAACTTTGAGACCCCTGCCTTATATTAATTTGCCACCGATCATCACCACGATTGTTGGACCCAAGTTAGGTATTATGTTGAATAACCATGTTAAAGTGGCCTACTGGTGTAGAATATGTGATCATTATTTTTTGTTGATATTATATCAGGGGAAAGCAACACTCTTATATTTTTAAGAAATGTGCTTTTATTAACATGAGTATCCTTTGTCATCCTCATGACCTAATCTGATGATTTTAAAAAAAGATAAACAAAACAAAGTATGCACTTTACTGTTTTAGCAAAATTCTCTCTAGTAGTAGGGGAAAACAAAATGTCATAACCTGCCAGGAGAGACTAAACATCAAGCACTTGTCAGATATGCCACTCTACTGTGAAGACTGGATCTGAGATCGCTAAAAATGATAATAGCAATAAACATTTCATTTTAAAAATGATACATACCAATGTTGAAATCTCTGAAGAGTCTGATGTCTCTTCCTGACTTGGTCCTGCAGGTGTTGCAGTATAAGGCTTTATAACAGCCACTTGAGCTTGTGCTGATGGAGGGGGAAAACCAACGGGTCGTCTGGTTGGTAGAGAAGTATGAGGAATTTCATCATCAGAGATCACACAAACATCCGGAGGGCTTCGTTTGGCTAGATTTCGTACTGTTTTTTTATTGACTGTTTGGGGGCTAATGGCAGCTGCACATAAATTTGAATTTCTAGATGGGAGATCATCTTCAGAGTCTTCTATAACAACCACAGGATGTTGCTCCATTATGACTTGAATTTCAGACTTCGAATTATCAAAATAATATTCTTCAGATGTTGATTCACTTAAACTTTTAACATCAACTATAATGATTTCTTGCTGTTTAGGTGGTAGCCAATCTAAAACCTTTTCAATGCTGCATGGTTCGTTGTAAGGCAAATCAGGAACAGGGACCCTCTGAAGATTTGAACTTTCTGAGCTGCATGAACTGGAAAATTGATGCATTTGCCTAGATGAAGTGCTGTCATCAGACGTTGACAAACAAATCACATCTTCTGATTTCGACTTTTTTTTCCTAGGATTCTCAAGAACTTTAAGGATTCTTTCAACTGCACCAAGAGGTTGCATCGCCGTCATGAATGAATTTTGCCCCGATACTAGACGAGTAAATTTTAATCCAGCTTCAGGAGCATAATTTCCTGATTTAGACATGTGACTGTTTGAGCTCTGACCTAGGACATCATAATTTTTTTTAGGAGATATCCTCATTGATATATGAGCCTCTGTTTCCTCTTCAGAACTACTGTCCAAATCAGAAACATAACCTGCCTGAAATAAATAGTAGAAGTATAAATTTTGTATTTTTCATTGTGTGGAAACATTTCCACATTAATGTTATTTCTTGATACCAATTTAAGCATGGGTTAAATATCTCAGGGATAAATATACCAATTCACGCAATTAAATGTGCTCAATGTACAAAATTCACAAAATTCCGGTTGATTTTCACAGTTAAAGAAAGCATTTTTTCAAATCTTGGTTTTAAAACCCAAGATACTTTACCCCTGGAGTTTTACCAATAGTGCTCCCTAGTGAAGAAAAATTGTGTTGTGAAATCAATAATCACCCTATTTATTTAAGTTTAAAAAACTTTTATCAAGAAAAGCACTGATGGAAAATCGTCTGTGCTAATTCTTGTGTGAAAGTATGGATGGGGAACAGATCACAGTGAGCAGTCTGGTACTAGAGAGATGGGCAAAGCACTTTGAAGGGATGCTAAATGGCTCACATGGAAGAGCCAATTAGGTGTACTACCACAAGGAGGACCTCACCCATTTATGTTATCTTTGCCATGAAGAATGACAAAGCCCCAAAGGAAAGACCCTTTGCAGAACTGATAAAACTAGGTGGAAACAAACTGCATTGTCAAATACAAGAACTCATGTCCAGAATTCGTCAAGAGGAAGAAACGCCAAATTAATGGGATACTGTGCTAATAATCCTGAGTCACAAGAAAGGCTCAGACCTGGATTGCCGTAATTGTAGAGGACTCTCCTTACTTCCTGTAACCTACAAAATCATCAATAACTAATTGAAAGAAGATTCAAAAGTTAAAGTGAACAGATTCTAGGTGACTATCCAAGTCCAAGTGGATTTCAAAAGATCATCCACAGATCATATCAGATGTCTCCTCGAGAAATGCTATGAAAAAAAAAAACCAATACATTAATGGGACTACAGGGCGGCTTATGATAGCATAGACCAGTGCTCCAAAACCTTTTTTCTCACACCGCACAACTAGACCCTTCCCAAAATCCTGTGGCACACCAAAAAAAAAAATGTTTTTTAAATAATACAAGAAGAATTGCATAATGTAATACAAAATATTTATGTTTAAAAACTTATGTGATAAACTAGCTTCTCTTGTTGATATTAATAATAGCTGTTTTATTTTTAACTTGAGCAATACGCTAGCTTTGTCTTGTTGAACATTGTTTTTTATTCTTAACTTCTTAAGTGATACACTAGCTCAGTTGTCGGCAAACTCATTAGTCAAAAGAGCCAAAAATCAGAAGAAGGACGATTAAAAAGATTTTTGAGAGCCAAATTTCTTTTCAAGAACCTGTCAAGAACCATGTTTTTTGGAGTCTAAACCAATTAGTGGTCTGCTTGCCGAGCCACACCCAGGTCGCTAAAGAGCCATATGCAGCTCGCGAGCTGCGATTTGCCGACCACTGCGCTAGCTTATCTTGTTGAACATAGATGTTTTATTCTTAACTTATGTGATACACTAGGTTGCCGTGTTAAAAATAGCTTAATATCTACTTTACACTAGGTTCAATATCTAACGAAGAAACTTAAAAGTTCCCTATGGTTCTATGTCAAAGCATGACCGCTAAGGCATATGTTTTTTTTATGAAGACAAAAGTCAAAAAAATTTAGTTTATATGAAAGTGATGGAAAGTTTTGTTGAAATTTCAAGTTTATTCTTCTTTAACTGAATTAATTTTTTTTCATTTTAAAAACATTATGTTTAACTTTATGAACTCAAATTTTAGCATCTAGTGATTCATCTATTCTAGAAACTTCTCTTTAAAATTGGAGCAAAGTTATTTGAAAAATAAAATACTATAGCTTTTTTTCTCCATAATAACTGTGTAAAAGTGTTGGTAAAATCTCCTTTGCATCAACTTTTGATGGAGTCATGAAAGAAAAAAAGACCTGCCTTCAGTGAAAATACCAGGATGTTTCTTTAGTATATTTTGTGTCATACCAAATGTAGAGTTTCTTTTTAATTTATTGGATCAAAAACAATAATAGAAATTCTCACTCCAACTTGTCATATTAAAAAGTGTTCACTCCAGGGGTGCAACTCACTGAAAGCTGTGAACCCTAAAATCCCTTTCTAAAAATTTCTTGAAACCTGAAACTTCATTTACAAATTTTTCAAACCCTGAAGCTTAATGAAACTCAAAATTCCTGATTATCGCAATGCGGCATTTTTGTTGATTCATTTTAAAAAATGCCTGAAATTGTCGAAGCAAAAACAACATTGAAATACGTCACAAATTAACAAAATTAAGCAATTACAGTGTATACATGTAAATATTTATTAAATTTCCTAGCAATAGCAAATTTTCTATCTACTTAGACTCGAAAAGTCAACTTTTGCAATGTTCTAAAGGCATTTTAGAACATATGTATAGCTACCATAAGTGGGAAACATCTTTTCTTATCTGGAGTTAATGTTCTCTTCTTTGTGATGAAAATGGATAGATAGAATCAACACACTTCAGTGTCCATAAAATCTCCTAAGTGAGGGTTTCACATTTTGACACATAAATTGGAAACTTGACTGAGAAGTTGCAGAAGTGGACACCTAAGATGGGTGATAAAGCTGGTCTCATCAGATGATTGACATCTTAAACGTATTCCCCTTGAATACTTGATAACAATATTTCCAGCATAGTGTAGCAGTGATGACTTGTTCAATCATGATTGCTGTCCTGACCACCCGTCTTGGAATGAACTATTGGGCTCTACATTATTTTATTGAGCATTGAACCTGAATTGTGAAACAAAATAAAATATATTATCATATTAATTTATAGTAAGGCATACATCATATAGACTATTATACCCGTAATAAACTACGGTAATACAGAATCAGAAGAGATACTAAGATAGGCATGCGCACATGAAACAGTATAGTCAGGATTTTCTGCAAGGGAATGGATCATTGACCAACCCGACCCCCTACCCCCTTTTTAGGGTCTACAAAGGTGTCCCCCCCCCCCCCAAATTAAAAAAATGTTTTTAAAAAAACACAACCCTTGCCTACGCCTCTGTGCTTATAAATAATAGTAGAATACCCAGAGCACAGCAGTGCATAAATATAAATAAAGACTAACTATATACAGTTATGTTATGCTCACTGCTGAATGGATGTATCAACTTTAAAAATTAAGTTTTATTAAGTTTTAAATGAAGTTCCGAAGTCAGGCATAATCTAGTTAGACTAAGCTAAGCTGCGCAAAAATAATATCACAAAATAACTTAATTATATTAGCCTATTTAAATTTAGAAGGCTTACTCCATAATTAAATGTAAAGAGACCTAAAGTCTTAAAAAAAGTTAAAAGCTGCCTAGCTCTAATAAAAAAATACATGTTGCCTACATAAAGTAAAACCATTAAAATTAAGACATAACAAAGTAGACAAAGCTTAGTCATTTCAGACAGCGCTTGGACAAGTAGTTTTCTATTTATAATAGTTACCCAACAATTGAAAACTAGATTCAAAAGATATTTTCACTTAATTATACACATTACTTACCCAAATATTTCAAACAGTCAAACATCTCTTGATTGGAGATGTAAACAGAAAAGAAATAGTTCTGATCTATCGAGCGAAGTATTCGAAACTTGTAGAGCTCAAAGCGCCGGAAAATGTCCTAACTAGAAGGCCCATTTTCCCCGGTTTTCATCAACTGGAAAATTATTCAATTATTCAATGAATTCCTGACTATTTCCTGTTTCCCGTTTCCTGACTGGCATGGGGACCCTGTTACAAATGAAAGCAAGAGGCTCGCAAACAAAAGTGAGAGGTCGCAGTACCTATTATTTATAGCGAACCTGCTCCAGCTGAATAGGCTTACGGGAGTTGTTATTGTTTATTTTTTTTTTTAAATCCAAGACAGAATCCGTATTTGAATAAACTGAACTGGCGAATTCGGAGTGAGAGAGAATAAAAACTCACGAATCCAGAGCTGAAAAATATTTAGCCTCACGAATCCGGAATTCTGTAAAATTCCGGAAAAGTGGCACCCCTGGTTCACTCAGATTTTCAAACAATAGTTCATCAGAAAGTTTTCCACTAACGAAGTGTAATTTGAACCAATTGCTTATTTTAGATAAAAGCTATTTGAACGCTGTTATTTCGCTGTGGAAGTTCATTTCACAATAATGATCTTTGATTAAGTTCTCTACTCCTCATCCAGATTAGATTAGAGATAAATGAAGTAAATTCCAAGTACATGATTGTGTCACGTAACAGACAGATAAAATCCTAAGGACCATAATCAGGCCTATACAGGGCAATGATGGATGGAGGATTCAGCCAAATTAAGAAATATACCTGTTTCATGAAGACCCAACTATAGTCCCAGGAATTAAAAAAAGCAGGCTGTGCTGGAGAGGCACGCTGAGAGGAGCAAGGATTGGTATGAATGGAAGGATGTGTTGAGCCCTCCATAGACCATAGTGCCATTGATGATGTAAGAAACTGGTTTGCGATTTTTTTTTTTTATAAAACAAAGCAAATTAAATATTTACTGGAAATTTAGGTAACTAATCTATTTGAAATGTAAAATAAGCATCATCCCAGCACCCAATGATTAAAAAGAAAGATAGAGGAGCACTGTTTAGCTCCATTATATTGGAATATAAGACTAACCTTTCTGTTTTTAAGCCATGGTAGGTTCTTGTCAGTAACTCCATAATCTACAACTATTTCCTCCCCTCTATGGATGTCTCTCAGAGCATAAGCAGCTAATCTTGGCAGTCCTTTGCCAGTAAGTTCTACCAAAATTGGTGAGTGGAATTTTATATTGGGCTCTCTTGAGTGGTTAAGCAGCCTTGTGTAGGAATCAAACTTTCTTGTAGCATCAATAGCCCATTTAGCTCCCTGAAATCAAAAAGTTATTTAAGATTATGATTCTTGAATCTGTTGAATTAAATAAATGGAAATATTTTTTGATGATGCTGTATGTATTGATTTTCACTATCTTAACAGTAATGGAACCGTTAAATATTGTGGTATGAGGGTGGCAGGGAAGTGGGAACATTAAGCACCAACTTAATTTAAATAGGAGAATATTTTCCACCTTTAAGGGTTCAATTTGCATTTATGTAATTTTACGTGATTTCTCATTTATGTGATTGTAGCAACTGATTTTTGGAATGGGAATGGTTTTATCAAACTTAGTGCATGCAAAACTAATAGACTAAAGATGTGTTAATATGTCACAAATACAAAGCACTTAGCTACACATTTAATCACCACACCAAAACACCAGCCATTGAACAAATCATATTTCAGTAATGTTCCCCTTGAAAAACGTGAAAACTGATGTTTGGGTGTTGGAGCGGGGCTGAAAATTATATATGTGTTGTCATCTGCAACAAGGCTATGTGCCAAGTTTTAGTTCAATAGGATGACGGGGAAGTGTGTCCATTAACCATCCAAAGATTTTGTCACAAACACATGAAAAAAAGCGAAATTAATATAAAGGATTTAAAAATAAGTTAAATTTGTATTCCATTTCTTTGGTAAAAAAGCTTAAGTTCCTTTAATTTTTTTATTTTTTGGTTTTTTTGTATATTGACCACTCCAATAAATTTTATAAAGCAGCTTGAAATTCATTTCACAAATATTAATGTTTGAACAACAATATATGCCCACCGGGTTTGATTACTTTATTTTATTAATAATAACTTGTAAACAAGCCCTTTCAGCTGTATATTGCAGCCAGACAGCATACTGCAATTAAACACATGAAAATTACACTTATTTGTTCCATTTTTTTTTGTCCAGTAAGTAGCATGTGGTCACCGAAATCTCAGAATTTATATGGCAAAATTTACACAGCTACAAATGAGCAGTGTGAACTTACCGTAAAAGGAATTTTTTTAATCATCAAATATTAGTTATGGTTATAAATTAATGCATTCAGTAGCAAGAGAAATGTGTTAACTTAAGATGAGATTATAGGTGTTTTCTGCTGCATACTGAAACAATTTTAGCTGCATAAAATATTACTTAGCATGTTTTATAGGTTCTTCATTTTGAGGGACTCGTGCAAAATGTCAAAGTAAAAAATGTGACATTTTTCATAAAGCTCATAAGGGGAGTTAAATTAAATGTTAAAACTGCTCTACTGGTAATAAATATAAATTTAAGGACTGCATTCAAGCTTAGTAAATGAATGAAATAGCAAGCTTGAATTAGAGAACAGGACAAAAAGATAAGGACGTTTCGGCATAAAGCCTTCTTCAGCTAACAGTAGAAATGAAAATATCACAAAGAACAGAGCACAGTAAAAAATTCAAGAAATATCAATTGTTGTCAGTTGTTTACTGTGTTCTGTTCTTTGTGACATTTTCATTTCTACTGTTAGCTGAAGAAGGCTTTATACTGAAACGTCCTTATCTTTGTGTCCTGTTCTCTAATTCAAGCTTCCACATACCTCGTTCTGGTAATAATTCAATTTGATTTATTTCTTATTTAAACAAAAAACTTGCCTTGTACATAAATGACAAGATAAAACATCCTTCATTATTTTGAGCATAGATCTTCTCCCTAAGGCATGCCTCCTCATCTGATATGAAATCTCCTTCATACTCTAGTACAAATGAGTGTTTCTTCAAAATTGGAGCTTTAAGGAAAACACCTCTACCCTTATTCTCCACTTCCTTTATGGTAAACATGGCTTTCACATCTTCAGGGTCTGATGAGAGCCCTTTCGTCAGGGCTTCAACAATAGTTAATTTAGGTCTACGAGCCTTGCGCCCTGATAGAAAACAAACATTTGCATCAGAAAATATGTCAAACTGCACTTTGTTATAAAAATTTTTTTTATTAAATTTCTACTTTAAACTTAAATTGCGTGAATAGTTAAATGAGTATCATAGAAACACAGAAGCTATTCGATGTAGATGAAATTCAATCAGTTATTTTGATAACTGAATTCATGTCGCTGACAATTTATACTACTCTGAAAATGTATTACTCAAGTTCTGTTAATTTGTTCAGTTCATTTATTACCAATTACAGCAATAGCAAAAGCATAGATTTGATCCCAGTTACCTTTTTTTTTTTGCTGATTATTTTATATGAAATAAAATGTATCTTAACTAGATTCCAGTCAAGTAAAAATATATAATTTACTATCTGGTGTAATGTATGCCCAATGAGTTTCAGTAAATGGTTAACAAATCTAAGCAGGATTTTCAACACAGGTTACTAAATCATAAAAATGAAAAATGGCTGAGGGTTGAAAAAAGATCTAAGAATTAAGTTATCTGCTTTTTTCTCATAACCAGTAATTTATAGTTAATAAGAAAAGCATCAAAGTTTTCTTTAATAAATTATTATAAACAAGGCTTTTGTTTAATTTTTCTACTCTTTTTAGAAAAGAAAATGGTTCTTTATTATAACAATAAATAACATATGACAACTATTGGCATTAATATCTTTCACATTACCTTTGGGGCAGTATAAATGAGAACAATTTTACTTGGTAACAAAGCATGAATGTAAAAGTAATGAAACCACAGAAAAAAAGTTGGGGAAACACATTAAGCTATCTAATAATTTTATGGACTACCTAACTTACCTTTGTTTGCCAGCTCCTGAAAAAGTAAAAGATTCAAATGTATTTTAATTATGGAAAAAAGGTTAATAGTTTGAGAAAATAAATTTATTATCAGTTATCTCTTAAATGAATTACCTGCATAATTAGGTCTCAGAAATGAAAACATTTGTGACAAGTATTTCCATTTATATCAGTTGGACATGTTGGCAGTGTGTATCACATACAATAATACATATACAAGTCATAGGGTGTGGTTGTAACTTGAAGTAATTATTGTTAATGATGCAAGCTTAAATATTTTCTAAGCAATAAAATGATAAAACATTGTGTAATATGTTAAGCTGGGAGTTAAAAAGATGCCTATAAATTAAATAAAATAGCAGTCCTGTATTACATTCTTATCATACGTCATAGGGTCACGGCTGATGTTTATTTCACAGCCGCTCGGGTATAAATTTCTGACTTCTCATAAGTTACATCATCTTATCATTTGCCCTTTTAGCCATTCAAGGCAATCTGGGAGGGGGGTGGTCTCATTTAAATAAACTCTTCTAATCAATTTAATACGAACTCTCTAAAGTATAATTTAGGCCCATTACTATTAAAAGCACTAATATTCCAAATATGTTGTAACCTGTTGTGTTCAGTTCAATGCTTTTAATGAAGTGATGGGTAATGCAGAGTTATTATGTGGGGCAGTTACTAACATTTCCCACTTTCACTATAATTACAGCAAATCGATATACTAATTTGTAAACCCTCTGTTCTTTTCCTGAACATAAATAAATTGACATTGCAGTTCAGCCGCCCATCTTGATGTGATCTTTCTTCGTAGATGATGAGTATGTGAATAGGGAATCAATTTAATTTCAAATGAATACTATGAAAATTGTGAATAGCATTGACCCTGGCAAATGCACCAAGTCACCCTCAGCATGGATTGATTTTTTAGCAAAAATTGATTGAAATAGTGCAAATCCATCCAGTCAAATGCAAAATGTGTAAAGGTTTATGTGATGATGTGGAACAAAGTTGTATGGCACTGTAGACGGAAGTTGACCGCAGGGCACCTCCATGACTTGTTATTATTATATAGCATGGAACACATCACCGGCCTTACTGCTAACCCAAAATCAACCTAATACTTATCTCATGTCCATGTGCCAATAGCCTTTGCATAAATTATAAATGTTGAGATTTCCGTTTGATTTATAAAGATGGTATTAACTCATTCAATCCAATATGAGATAAGAAGGAGGTTTTAACAATGGCTGGTACAACAGCCAAAATATTAAATTAAATATCCTCAATTTAAATCCTAGACTAGCAAAATGTAATTTAATTTGTTGTGCTATGTTGTAAAATATGTATAAATAAATAAGTATTCACTGCAAAATTATTGTTTTCGTTTATATTGATATGCCTCAGAGTTTAAATTAAATTACAAAAGTGAAGGTAATCTTACAAGATTTCTATCTAAATCTAAGAATCTAGGTCATAGGTCATAGGCCTAAACTAAAATAGTTAAAATGAGCATATATTTCAATAAACTATTAACAGTTTCCGGCGGAGGCCCTCTGGCCCCTCTTTAGCTGGAGGTTATCCCCACTAACCCTCCTTGGGTGTGTCCCGTTTTTTCCAGTTCATTATTTGGTCACCCTAATTAGCCTTAGACTAATTCTATGACTATGACATGATGAATGATCTTCATTCTTGGCACACAGTCCGACCAAAAAGGTACACTTCGGTCCAGGTCCAGTGTAGGGCTAGTAGGCCTATTGTCGGTATACCCACATTGTCGATTGTTAGTTAAATAAATGACTGATGCCATTTCTATTATTTTACAAAAAGTTATTGAGTATTGTATTTTTGACAGTCGACAGTGTGAGTGAGAGAGTCTGAAGACTGAAGTCACTGAAGGTGGTGGGCCCGGTTCAGTCACGGTTGAGGATTGAAAAATTGTTAGATCGTCAATTTTCCAATACATTATAATAAACACTTAAAACATTATCCATTTTCTTCAGCTAAATCTCTTTCGGTGTGTTTCAATGGCATCAATGTTAATTAAACATTAAATAAAAGTAAAGACTTACGGATACTGCCATAATAAAATAGTGTGGCGCTCTCTTCAAACGATCTAAAAATTCTATAAACACAGCATTAAAAAAGTGGAAGGGAAAAAAAGGCGATACTACTTTTTAAAAATAACAAAAAAAAAACAATACCTTTTTTTAAAAAAGTTTGAGCCTAAATTTAAGTTAATTTTTTTTTCTATTTTTTCATTGTTCATCAAATAATATGAGATTGTCAGCATAGAATAAATATTTAATTTATCACTGAAAAAAATGATATTTTTGTTGAATGACTTATGTTAATGTTATTTAATCAAAATCAATGCATTATTATTATTAATAAATGCATGATTTTTATTTAATTGGCGTGGTCTTACAGTACTTACTCAATCCATTTGGGGGGAGTGGGGGGGGGGTAATGCGGAGCTGGGGGTCATTATCAACCGATTAATTAAATGAATATAAAAATTTGCATAGTACTAATCCTGATAACTAGTAGCAGTAGCAACCTATATTCTATATCCTATATTAATATTTATATGCTGTTTAAACCTATTAATTACAATACTTGACTTGTTTTTCTTGTAACACTTATTATTTAAACTTATACTTTGGTATTGTTTCCTTTTGTTAAATTTACTTATGTAAATATAAAATACTCACCATTGTAACTGTTTATATGTGTAAATATGATAAACATGTTAAGCATAGGCTGGTTCCTTGTAAAATGTATTAATAATTCATCCTGTATGGATTCATGGCCGGCCCTACGGTTGCTGGCGCCTTGGGCAAGCTTAACTTTGGCACCGCTTTAAAGTACATGTATGATCATACCACTTTGTGCAAGGAAAAAAACTGAGGTTTAGGGGGCGTCCATTAATTACGTCAACAAAATAGGGGGGGAGTGGGGGGAGCGGAAATGTTTGACAGTTGTTAACAAGGGGGAGGGAGGTTTTTTTTATATTAGTTGACGTCAACAATCATGTTTTGTCTATTAAAATTTTAATCTTAAAAATTGACTGGTTATTACATTAATTTAAAACATGTATAAATGTAAATGAGTGTAAATAGTCATATAAGTTTTAGGCTTTTAACAATATAAGATTAATTTAATGTGTGTCTGTGCACTGCAGATGGCTGGTCAGAATGTTAGCACACTTGTTAGTGCAAGAGAAGTCAAGAGTTTGCCTCTCTTCACATGTAGATTCTGTTGCAGGTATGGAGCAAGGACAAGGTTCAAGTGTCATGTGCAATCAAGATAAATTATGTTGATAGAGTAGGAATACGATATTGTGAGAAGTAGGTGAATGTAAAGTGAGTAACAATAATAACAACATCGCTGCTTGAACGGATTTGCAAAATCTGTAATGCATCACAAGTCGTGTTGAAAAAGCATGTTGAACAGAACCGACTATGCACTCTTGAGCCTAAGAAATTAGCACCTGCTCCTCAACAAAAAAGGATTCGACCAATGCCAGTAGCTGCAAGGAGATAGATAGAGCGTATGGCAATTATTGCTCACATCGACGATGCTTCTATTTTAAGTGCTGAACGGTTAGATGAGGAGGATGTGGACGTGTCTGGTATATCAGTGCCGCAAGATCAAAATGATCAATCAGCTGCCACGGACTATACCCATCAGGCATTTTGATCATTTGTTTTCTGGGGGGAGGGGGAAAAAACAAAACTTGGTCTTGTTAAGTTGTTTAATAATGTAGGCGCCACGGTACATAGCAATTTAAATAAAACCTGAAAAATAGGGGGTGGGGGCAAATGCCCCCTGCCCTACCCAAATGATGTCCCTAATGCCCATTGTTACGATAGAGCAAAGCTGGCTACTTCCTGGAAAGATGATAACGGCTAGAAACTATGCTACAATTGTCAGCTATAATGACAAAAATCATATTTTAACTTCCACAAAAAATTATATTTAGTCTTTAAC